GCTTCCAGTTATTTCTTTCCGGGAAATGAAATTGTTGAAGGAGAAAAGCCGCACGAGATATCTGATTGGCCAGGAGGCGTCTTATCGCGACTGTCAGTTTAAACGTTCCGTGATTTTTTTTTAACTCCGGATATTGCGGTAGAGGAAAATCATGCAAAATTGTAAATGGAAATCACCTTGGAATTACTGAAATGACGGCTTTATAGAGGAGATCAGTCATCTGTTCTTCGATTCTAAGCTGCAATGTAGGTTCTTAGCCATATGTGTCGTGTATAAAATAACTTCAAGAGGTACACAACAATTTATTTGGAGCGCCAGCAGCCCTGGCAAAATGTCTCTCTCACTGCAGGCTAACAAGTCCGTCCGCCCGGGAGATAAATAGTTGTCTGCCACATCTATTCATCTCCGCCCCCTGCCTTTTATCCCCAGAGCTAGGGTGGGACTTCGCTAGCAGCGGTGGCTCTTCCGTCCCAAGGACCGGCCCATAGATTTCCACTGCTCTCCTCTCCTCTGCCTTCTGTGCATCTGCGCGTGAGGCACTAGACCCAGCTGTTCCTCCTCTTCCTCATCAGTTACCTCCAGGCCCTGGAGCTGTTTCCATCTGAGGGCTGACGGACGGCCCAGGCTCCGCCTCTGTCTCTCTCTCTGCCACCTCCATTCCCTCCTCCCCCTCGGAGCTCTCAGGTTGCCTTGATACTGACCCCGACTCCCACACCTCCTCTGATTCGGCTGTTGGAGGGGCTGGAAGCCGACAGGTCACAACAAAACCACAGCAGTTTGATCTATTAATGCCAACTCGTAAACCAGGATTCATAAACCACAATGATTTGTAAGGTTTTATAAACCAGAACCAAACCACAGTGTGGTTTAGCAAACATATATATAGATTGGCAATGAAACGTGTATATAGTATAATGGGAGAAGTGGTTTTATTAAGATGGGGACAGCAGATCACTTATATATACATTCTAAATTCTGCATTTATTCTTGAATCCTTTCATTCTAGGGCCGTGGGTATGTTTGCACAAGGCAGGTACTTCCAGTTTGATGGAATTCCACGGAATATTGGCTTGCAAAGTCATGTCCGTATTAGCGTTCCTAGCTTGCAGAGATAATTCTTTACATTTATGTTAAGCGAAAGATTGAAACTTTGGTTTATATCAGGGGTGAAATGCTCCCGGTTCGGACCGGATCACCGATCCGGTAGCGATGGTGGCGGGTGGTTCGGAGAACCGGTTACAATAATCCCTGCACCCACCCACCCCACATACCCAACTGATCCGCGCGATCATCAGAGGCTGTTTTTTTTAACTTTTAAAAGCATTTTTTCTACAACCTCTTCGGCCGAAGAGGTTGTAGAAAAAAAAAATGCCTTTAAAAGCCTCTGACGATCCCAGCTGAGTTGCCTGATCGTGTCACTATAGGGACGCAGTGGCTGAGTGACTAAGACACTGAGCTTGTCGATCGAAAGGTCGGCAGTTCAGCGGTTCGAATCCCGAGTGCCGCGTAATGGGGTGAGCTCCCGTGACTTGTCCCAGCTTCTGCCAACCTAGCAGTTCGAAAGCAGGTAAAAAATGCAAGTACAAAAATAGGGACCACCTTTGGTGGGAAGGGAACAGCGTTCCGTGCGCCTTTGGCGTTAAGTCATGCCGGCCACATGACCACGGAGACGTCTTCGGACAGCGCTGGCTCTTCGGCTTTCAAATGGAGATGAGCAGCGCCCCCTAGAGTCGGGAATGACTAGCACATATGCGCGAGGGGAACCTTTACCTTTTATTAGTACCTCGCTTGATCTTGATTCATTCTTGATTAACTCTGTTAATTCAGCTTAGGACTGAGTTGGCTTTTTTGGCTGCCGCCACCCACTGTTGATGCCCCACAGGGCAGAAAGACATGGAGACATATAATGAGTTGCGTTACTAAACCAGATTTAAGTTTCCTCTCCTCCTCTCTTATCTCCTGTGTTCAATTTCTTTTGCTTCCGTACTTCTCATTCTTTTTCTGCGTTTCTCATAATGTTGCTTATCCCAAAGGGGAATAGCTCAGCGAATCTCTATGCATGTAATCTTCCATCTATAAAACAAGAAAAATTACACTAGGTGTTAAGAGGTTGTACTTTCCAGTATAGAGCCTAGTATTGAGGGGTATATATCATAATGATAAATTGTTCAGAATCATGAATTTTTGGTATTTTTTTTTTTAATTTATTGCCGTTGTCCTCTTTTTCCTGAAAACAGTGGGAGATTTGCATAGCTGCTGCTGTGTCATCTGGTTGTTGGGAAAATGTTTTGGAATATACGCCTGAAATCTGTTGGTTTTTTTTTTCTTCTTCCATGTCTTAGTCTTATGAGTCTGCAGACGAGATCAGGGGTGAAATCCAGCAGGTTCTGACAGGTTCTGGTGAACCGGCAGCGGAAATTTTGATTAGTTTGGAGAACCGGCAAATACCACCTCTAGCTGGCCCCAGAATGGGGTGGGAAGGGAGATTTTGCAATATCCTTCCCTCAGGAGTGGGGAGGGAATGGGGATTTTGCAATATCCTTCCCCCAGGAGTGGGGAGGGAATGGGGATTTTGCAGTATCCTTCCCCCAGGAGTGGGGAGGGAATGGGGATTTTGCAATATCCTTCTCCCAGGAGTGGGGAGGGAATGGGGATTTTGCAATACTCATACCCATTTTGAAATCTATCATCGATCCCTCCATCCATCCTTTATCTAACATTTATTTCTTAACATTTATTATCTAACATTTATCTATATTTATTATCTATCATCTCTATTATCAATGTTATCTATCTGTCCAACCATCCATCCATTATTTATCATTTATGTATCATTTATCTGTATTATCTATCTTCTCTACATATCTATGCTATCTGTCCTCCATCCATCCATTATTTATCATTTACATTTATTATCTATAATCTCTATCAATGTTATCTATCTGTCCAACCATCCATCCATTATTTATGTATCTATCAATTATCTATCATTTATCTGTATTATCTATCTATCTATGCTATATGTCACCCATCCATCCATCATTTATCATTTATACATATTATCTGTCATCTCTACTATCAATGTTATCTATCTGTCCAACCATCCATCTATTATTTATGTATCTATCATTATTATTATTTATCTGTATTATCTAACTTCTCTACCCATCTATGCTATTTATCTGTCCTCCATCCACCCATCCATTATTTATTGTTTATCTACATTTATTACCTATCATCTTTATCTAGCTGTCCTGCTGACTGAGGAATTCTGGAAGTCCACAAATTAAAAAGGTTGCCCCCCCTGGCTTGAGATATTTCTAAACGCAAGAGGGGAGGTATTTTTCGTACTGTATCACTTCTTAAATGCCATCACTATTGTCTTGGTCCCTTAGTTGCTGTCATGGTGGATGCTTCTTCCCATTTTCAATCACTATTTTTAAACTCTTCCTTTAGTTTAGTCCATTATTAATACATACCATCCAATCAACGTATGTAAACAGTGGAAAGCATTTGAAGTATCATCATAGGTTCGTAATGCCTGTTATTTTTAGCTTGCCATCTCAAAGGAGAAAACATCTTTAGCAGACATGTTAACTCTTCGGGGACCGGTAGTGGCTAATAATAACTCCAAACATATTATTAGGTTGGACAGAACTGGAGACAATTAAAGGTGACTCTGTTTCCATATATAGAAACGTTTACAGGTGTTTTTACATTTTGCAAATGCCCCTGGTTGCATTTTGGACTGTGCTGAGTAATTGGATAGCCACCATCAAGCTATCTTAAATCAACTAGAAATGCTAAATCTGTGAATGACAATCCCCCAAGTACAATATTTTTTTGGTTTTCTCAGTGTAACTACTACAGTAGGCTTAAACCAGCATAGGGAGTCTTGTGACATTTAGCAAATGGACTAAAAAAATAGATGGGTGTATATATTCAGGAGCTCAGGAGAACTTTCATGGGTGGTGTAAGACAGTGAGAATTATTGGTGGATGGATGGATGGATAGAGAAATAATGGATGGATAGAGAGATAGGTGTGTGGGTGGATAGATGAATGGATGGATGGATAGAGGGATTGATGGATGGATAGGGAGATAATGGATGGATAGATGGGTAGATGGATGGAAGGATGGGTGGATAAAGGGATTGATGGATGGATAGAGAGATAATAGATGGATAGAGAGATTGATGGATGGACGGATGGATGGACGGATGGATAGAGAAATAATGGATGGATGGATGGGTGGGTGGATGGATAGAGGGATTGATGGATGGATAGATAGATAGATGGATAGAGATTGATGGATGGATAGATGGGTGGGTGGGTGGATGGATAGAGAGATGGATGGATGGATAGATAGAAAGATGAATGGATAGATAGACTGATAGATGATGGATGGAGAGATGGATGGACTGATGTACATAGATAGATAATAGGATGGATGGATGGATGGATGGATGGAAGGATAGAAAGATGGATCGATGGATAGCCATAAATTTGAAACAAACAAATAAAACCCCTTCTTCAGTGGTTATTCCCACCTAAATAAGAACTCATTTCATTTCTCTCTTTAATATTTCAAACCAGTTAATTTGATTTGCCACAGTGAAGAATTTGCCACAGATAACCAGAATGCAGTTTCAGAAATGCCTTCAAATCCGGGGAAGGCAAGAAATCACATTTTGCACAACTACAGTATGCCTTTTTCCCCCCCTCATGTCTCTTCCCTGAAGATCTATTTCCGGTGTTATGCTCACTAATTGCTTGAAATAATAACAGTAGAACGAATGCCGAGATAGAAACATGGATTTGCTCGAGTGCCAGAATTCCAAGGATCCAATTTCTTGTGTCCTGATGGATTGAGCGTAATATTAGCGTCACTTGAAAAGAACTGTTTCGTCTATCGCTATCCGTGACAAGACCGATCTGTCGCTTCGCCCATTGTCCAAATCGGTCGAATGTACTTCACATATAAAGTTATTTGTCTTTCAGGTACTACAGCGCAACTATCATGCAGATGTCGGGTGTCCGAGATGACCGCCTGGCTATCTGGCTTGCAGCTCTGACGGCCTTCACTAATTTCATTTTCACGCTTGTGGGAGTCTGGCTTGTAGAAAAAGTCGGCCGGCGCAAACTTACCCTGGGGAGTTTAGCAGGTATGTAAGAATGGACGGGAACAAATGGAAGCGCATTTGAAAACGGACCGTAGAGATTTGGTCTCGGGGTTAACGCATCAGATTAGAAATTAGGAGATGGGGAGTTCTAGTCCCGCCTTAGGCAGGAAAGTCAGCTGGGTTACCTTGGACCAATCACCAGAAGACAGGGAGTTCTAGTCCCGCCTTAGGCAGGAAAGTCAGCTGGGTTACCTTGGGCCAATCACCAGAAGACAGGGAATTCTAGTCCCGCCTTAGCCAAGAAAGTTGGCTGGGTGACCTTGGGCCAATCACCAGGAGACGAGGAGTTCTAGTCCTGTCTTAGCCACGAAAGCCAGCTGGGTATCCTTGGATCAATCACCAAGAGACGGGAGTTCTAGTCCCGTTTTAGCCATGAAAGCCAGTTCCCTCTCAGGCCCCCTTTTCGCTGGTAGAGAAGAGGCCGTCACGGCCAAAAACGCAGCTTCGACAAGTGACACGGAGCTGGCCACACGCCCCCCCCCCCCGGCCCCTAGGTCAAACACAACCCTGATGCGACCCTCAATGAAATTGAGTTTGACACTCCTGAAGTAAGTGATTCACTTAACAATGGGGGAGGGGGGGACAGACAAATTCTTTTTTTTTTTTTAATTTGATTTATATGCCACCCTTCTCCAGAGACTCAGGGTGGCTTACAATGCGTTAAGCAATAGCCTTCATCCTTTTGTATATTTATACAAAGTCATCTTATTGCCCCCATAATCTGGGTCCTCATTTTACCTACTTTAGAAAGGATGGAAGGCTGAGTCAACCTTGAGCCTGGTGAGATTCGAACTTGCAGTAATTGCAGGCAGCGGATGTAAGTGGATGTTAATTAGTCTGCTGAGCCACCAGAGCTCCTTTGACACATGTTTTACACATTTTACACATGTTTCCCTTCGCCACGGAAGCGTTGGGCTCAATTATGGTCATAAATCAAGGACTACCTACATACGTGTATGCGTGAATTTTGTACAGTATCCTGAAATGAAGCTGGTTTTTTTTGTGTCTGTTTTTTTTAATAGGCACTACTGTGGCCCTGGTTGTTTTAGCTTTGGGTTTTTTGCTGTCGGCTCAAGCTTCCCCACAAGTCACTCTTAACCCCGAAAGCCAGTCGGCTCAAAACTCCACCTGCACAAAATACAGGTAAGTCGTTTTGATTCGCTCGTTAAACCTTTGAAGCTTCTGCAGTGGTTCTAAGACGAAAGACGGTACAACGAACGTTCCCATTAGTTAAGAATTTACAATTAGTCAAGCGTTTTGGGTGCAAAAATCCCGAATCCAGGAGCGGTCTTGATATCTCTTTGAATATTTTAATTGGCACTATTCAAATATTAAGAAAAACATACCCTAATTATTTTTTTTCCCACAGTGAAGGGTAACAACAACACAAGAATGTAAAACAAAGACCTCTTTTAACCTAATATTCAAAACTGCAGTTTTTGATTCAATTGTTCCAAGGTTGTTTTAATAGAACTTTTTTTTTGGTAGACGAGTCCTAAATAGTTCCAGATAACAGCAATTCTTTAACCATGTACATCTTTTGCCTTAACTTAATTTCTTTTCTCATGTTATTGCTGTTCGAATAAGGGTTTTTTTGTTCCCAACATACGGAGAATATTCTGTGATTCTCTCTGCTAGTTCCTTCAGTATCTTAGGATGCAGTCCAGCTATGACCCTGATAAATTACCTTTGATCCTTCTTGACTATCAGAATAGAATAGAATAGAATAGAATAGAATAGAATAGAATAGAATAGAGTACAGTACAGTACAGTACAGTACAGTACAGTACAGTACAGTACAGTACAATAGAATACAATAGAATACAATAGAATAGAATTCTTTATTGGCCAAGTGTGATTGGACACAAGGAATTTGTCTTGGTGCATATCCTCTCAGTGTACATAAAAGAAAAGATACATTCATCAAGAATCATAAGGTACAACACCTAATGATAGTCATAGGGTACAAATAAGCAATCAGGAAACAATATCAATATAAATCATAAGGATACAAGCAACAAAATTACAGTCATACAGTCATAAATGGAAGGGAATGGGTGGTGGGAACGATGAGAAGATTAGTAGTAGTGCAGACTTAGTAAATAGTTTGACGGTGTTGAGGGAATTATTTGTTTAGCAGAGTGATGGCGTTTGGGAAAAAAATTGTTCTTGTGTCTAGTTGTCCTGGTGTGCAGTGCTCTATAGCGTCGTTTTGAGGGTAGGAGTTGAAACAGTTTATGTCCAGGATGTGAGGGGTCTGTAGATATTTTCACAGCCCTCTTTTTGACTCGTGCAGGATACAGGTCCTCAATGGAAGGCAGGTTGGTAGCCATTGTTTTTTCTGCAGTTCTAATGATCCTCTGAAGTCTCTGTCTGTCTTGTTGGGTTGCAGAGCCAAACCAGACAGTTATGGAGGTGCAGATGACAGACTCAGTAGATCCTCTGTGGAACTGGATCAGCAGCTCCTTGGGCAGTTTGAGCTTCCTGAGTTGGCGCAGAAATAACATTCTTTGTTGTGCTTTTTTGATGATGTTTTTGATGTTAGCTGTCCATTTTAGATCTTGCGATATGGTAGAACCTAGAAATTTGAAGGTCTCTACTGTTGACACTGGGTTGTCTAGTATTGTGAGAGGTGGAAGTATGGGAGAGTTTCTCCTAAAGTCCACCACCATTTCTGTGGTTTTCAATGTGTTCAGTTCCAGATTGTTCCGGTCGCACCACGAGGCTAGTTGTTCAACCTCCCGTCTGTATGCGGATTCATCATTGTCTCGAATGAGACCGATCACTGTTGTGTCATCTGCGAACTTCAGTAATTTAACAGATGGATCGTTAGAGATGCAGTCATTGGTATACATTGGTATTAAGTTGCAGCTGCCTTGTTTTCCCAAGTGTTATGATAATGTTTGTAACATCCCCAAAGGCAATATTTTTTGTTGCTTCTGATTTCTATTACGAGACTTTTTAACAAGATGATAACGGGCCCAGAGACAAAAAACATACGAAGAACGGTTTGCAGGGTATGGACTCTAGACTGGGTACGGCCAGTCTAGAGAAAAGAAAGACTAAGGCACTGATGGTGAACCTTTTTGGCCCCGAGTGCTGAAAAGGTCACACGGAAACGTTACACGCGTGCACTCATCGGGGCCGCACTCTGGAAAAACCGAACTTCCGGGTACCAGCGTGCATGCATGCTCCATGATCAGCTGCTGGCACACATGCACAGGCCGGTTTTGGGCACTGCTGCATGCGCGAAGGGATCGCTCTTCGGAAAAGACTAACTTCCGGGTTCTGGTACATATGTGCGCCCGACAATCAGCTGGCCAATTGTCTTGGGCTAAATTATTTAATCTGGTTTTAATTATATCTTTTAACTTTTGTATTTATGTATTTTATTTTGTGCCTGTTCACCGCCCTGAGTCCTTGGGGAGTAGGGCGGTATATAAATCTAATAAAAGGCAAGACAAAGACAAAAGACAATGCGCATGCGCGCACTGGTTTTCGTCCCTGCCATGCATGCGAAGGACAGCTGATCATCGTGCACCGGTTTTCCCGAACTGTTCCGAACCGGCTGAATCCCACCATTGATGCGGTCATTAAAAGATGATGATGATAAACGAACGTAGTCTACAAAATTCCATGATATTTCTTTAAAGGAAGCTTAGTATATGATTCTCACGTCGTGCATCTTGTGTCCCGGCGGTACATGATTGCTCTCCAGTATTACTAAATTAAGCTCGAAAACCGAATCAGCAACCGGGTGATAAGTTGGTCGCACAATTTAGGAAAGCAATTTCATGCCTGCGTTTTGTTCCAACGTGGGCTGTTTTAAGGGCAAATTGCAGGAATCTCTTAGATGTGAACTCTTTAATTACAAACATCATCTGCAGATGATTAAAAAGTTGCTTTAACTCCAATTATGGAGCAAATCAACACAGAAATTAAGCCTGGGAAACTTAATGGGTGAGCAAGAATTGTTCAAAATTACATCCATAACATCATCTGGCAACATAACGTAAATATGATTTTAGTTTGCCATCCATTAACGAAGTTGAAAGGGACAGAAATAATGCTTGTATTCGCAATTATGCCAGGCTCATTATTCTTCATCGGATGGAATTAAGCCTTGGTATTACTAATAGGGCTGTACAATTTATTGATAATGTAACACATTATAGGAAAAATTGGTACATACCAGTGGTGAAATCCTCAGAAGTGAGACCGGTTCGCTGCGCGCACATGCGCAGTACTTTCCAAACACAGGCTTTGCGCGCATGTGCAGCGTTGAAAACGGAGGCTTAAGGTAAGTAGAACAGTGAGGGGGGTGGAACAGCTGTGCTGCACGATTTATATTAGCTTGAAAGCAGGATTTCCTGCTTTCTAGCAGGAAATAGCACAGCTGATCGTTGGAAATACCAGTTCCAATAAACTGGTAGCATTTTTTTTTACTACCGGTTCTCCTGAACCGGGGCGAACCGGTAGCATTTCACCTCTGGTCCATATGTAGATGGTAGTTGTTAAAGTGTGCTGAAATTAGCTTGAGTTGTATGCAGTTTTATAAACATTCTGGATTGGCATGAATACAAGCCTGTAAAGACTTATGAATTGCTATCCAACTAAATTTTTTTAATCGTCCATTTTTTTGAGGGGGGGGGGTTGGGTTGCTTTTCTGCTGCTTTTTGACCCTTTCATTATGAGACGCACTTGAATTTGATATAATAATTTTGATATAGCATCTCCATGATATAGATGAGTCGTTGTTGAATCAATGCGGTCTTACTAAGGAATTTCTCACAGAAGGAGAGAAACATGGGATGCTTACTTTATTTTTATACTTTATATAAGATTTGTCCAATTGATAGAAGAGAATATAGGTTGGGGTTTCAAACTCAAGGGCCGGGGGCCTGGATCCGGCTCGTGGGGTGCTTACATCTGGCCCGCGGGGCCGCTCTGCAAACAGCGAAGGACTGGCCCGCGCGGGCTCTGCCGGTGAAAACGGAGCTTGGGAGGGCTGCATAGAGCTCTCCCAACTCTGTTTTCACTCGCAGATGGTTGCAGGAGGCTGTCGCAGCCTAAAACGGAACTTGGGAGCCCATTTTTGCGGGCAGAGTACTTGGGCCACCACAGGCTCCCCTGACACGAGTGACGTTGAGCTGGTGATGCCCACCCCCCCAGCTACTCCCCCATCCCACCTCCCCAAGGTCAAACAACCCTGATGCGGCCCTCAATGAAGTCGAGTTTGACACCCCTGATATAGGTAGTCGTCAACGTACAACCAGAAGCCAGCTCAACATTTCTTGATTAAGCAAGACCATTGTTAAGTGAACGTTGCCCCATTTTACGATCTTTTTTTTGTTGTTGTTGATATACTTATTAAGTGGATCACTGCCGTTGTTTAAGTTAGTAACCGGATCGTGTGAAATGAATCTGATTTCCCCACTGACTTTGCTTGTCAGAAGGTCTCAAAAGGGGATTGCATAACCCCGAGATACTACAACCGTCATGAGTAGAAGTCCATTTTGATTCCACAAACAATGGGGATGCTTGAATTGGTTGTGAGTATGAAAACGGTCCAGAGTCATCTTTTTCAGAGAAAAAAAAATAGAGAAAATAAGGACCAGGGGTGGGATATGTTAGCTGTCAAGTTCCGATGTTATCTCAAATAAATTTCATTCTCAAACACAAAGTCTTTGATGAAATCTCTTATTTATTGAAGAATAACGATCTAGTCCTGAACTCATTTGCAGCCAAAACTGATCCTCTGATCCCAAACCCCTCCCTTTCCGTTCCTCAAATCTCAGTGTCTCATTGGCCATCTTACAAGTCCATCTTTCATCTCAACTACTTCAAGTCACAGGAATTCCCCCCTCCCCCCATCACCTAGGTGACGTTATCTGCCGGGGAAAAGAACTGGGTGAAAAGCCAAGCTACTACTTCTAACAGGTTCTTCCTCTTTCATTTTTTTTTTTTCCACTCATTCATGTTAGCACTGGGGAAATCATAGTTTGGAGCACTGACATTAGCAGTATTTTAGTATTTGAGGGGCTGTCACAAGGAATTGAAGGTGAACTTATTTTCCAAAGCATCAAAAGGCAAGACAAGAAACAATGGATGGAAACTAATCAAGGAGAGAAGCAACCTTAGAACTAAGGAGAAATTTCCTAACGGTGAAAGCAATTCATTAGTAGAACGACTTGCCTCCAGAAGTTGTAAACGCTCCATCACTGGAGGCTTTCAAAAAGTGACAGGACAACCATTTGTCTCAATGAGCCAAGGTGGCGCAGCGGTTAGAGTGCAGTACTGCAGCTGCTTCAGCTGACTGCTAGTTCAGCAGATCAGCGGATCAAATCTCACCGGCTCAAGGTTGACTCAGCCTTCCATCCTTCCGAGGCGGGTAAAATGAGGACCCAGATTGTTAGGGGGCAATATGCTATTTAGTATACTGTCTTTGGTGTAAGCCGCCCAGAGTCCACGGAGAGTGGGCGGCATAGAAATATGACAAACAAACAAACAAACAAACAAATCAATCAATCAATCAATGGTATAGGTCTCCTGTTTGTACAGGAGGTTGGACTAGAAGACCTCTGAGGTGCCTTTGATGAAAAGGACTAAGGGTGACATAATAGCAGCAGTCCAGGACAAGGAGCAACGGATGGAAACTAATCAAGGAGAGAAGCAAGGGTGAAATCCAGCAGGTTCTAACAGGTTCTGGAAAACCTGTAGCGGAAATTTTGAGTAGTTCGGAGAATTGGCAAATACCACCTCTGGCTGTCCTCAGAATGGGGTGGAAATGGAGATTTTGCAATATCCTTCCCCCAGGAGGTGAGGGAATGGAGATTTTGCAGTATCCTTCCCCTGCCACGCCCCCAAAAATGATATAGGATTTCCTGCTTGAACCTCCAAGGTCCCTTCGAATTCTGTCATTCTGAGTTCTAAAAACATATTTTATAATGAAAAAATTATGGTTTAAAAAACCCCGAAGGATTTGATCCAGAGATGTTCAGAAGAAACTTTAAAATGCCTGCTCAAGCCATTTTCCCTTGCTCTAATCAACATGTAATTAAAATTTGATTGGGAAGTTCATGCCGTAGAGCTGAAGGATGGCTTGGTAATAAATCCTGAAATTAGCTAAGCAGTAAAAGCCATTTTGGGGTTATTGCACTTAACTTAGCTTTTAGCACATTTCTCTTTATTAAATCTCATAATTTAATTTAAAACGCCAGAGGGGTAGCAGGCCAGTTTTCTCAACTCAAAAGAGAGTTTACGCGTCTGATATTTTAAAAATAAATATTGATATTCCTTTCCGGACAGCTGGTCATTTGCATCCTTTTAGCGGGTCATTGAGGCCACTTGGAGGTTTATCTGTGTTCTCAGCAGTGGTGGATTCCTCCCGGTTCGGTCCGGTTCGGCCGAGCCGGTAGCAGTGGCGATATGACATCACTGAACCGGTTCTTTCCCCCCCGCCCCCCCACGTTATTCTTACCTTTTATTTGGTCCCACCCCCAATCTATTGCTGCCTCCTGAGTCCCAGCTGATAACTAGAGGGAAAAAAACTGTTTAAATTCTTGCCGTGGGGCTTCAAAGGGCCGCCCTACAGCTGATCAGTGTTAAAAGCAAATGAGTCGGGTCGTAAGTGCGAGGACTGGTTGTAAGTGCGAGGACCTCCCAGAAATGACTGACCAGCTAGCCACGCCCACCTAGTCACATGACCTCCAAGCCACACCCACAAACTAAGCCATGCCCACAGAACCGGTAGTAAAAAAAAATTTAGAACCCACCCCTGGTCCTCAGGGTTTCCAGACTTTTAGCTATACAATTTCGGATGAAGATCCTTTGAACGGTGTGGGAGTAGGAACGGATTTCCAGAGGCAAAAATTGCAGACTACAGGAATCATTTGCACCACTCAGGTGACCCTGAGGACACAGAAAAACCTCCTCAAGTGGCCTCAAGGACCCGCTAAAAAGATGCAAATGACCAGCTGTCCGCAAGGAATATCAATCCTTCCATTCTCCACCATCCAGTCAGAGCTGAAGAAGCTTCTTGGATGAGAAGCGAAACGTCTTCAAAAGAAAAAAAACAAGAAAGTCCTGAAAAAGCAACTTTTTGGGATTGCAATAGGTGTTTTCTAAAAAAACTGGATGTATTCCCGTAACTTCCTATCCCATTCCCATATTATTCCCTTCTTGGTATTCTCTGCTTCTGTCTGCTCGGAGACAATAGCCAGAAATATTTGCTAAAATATTTGTTATTAATGAAAGCAAGCAGGTTTTATCATCCAGAACTCCCATACCTCATTATATATAGAGAGATATCGCTTGGAAGATTCAGTTGGTGCACTTTATGCTTGAAATACTAAATATTATTTTACAAGCAGGGGGAAACCACTATTTGGCATCTGCTTTTCGATATTTGTTAAAGATTTGGATGTAAATCCTGTTCAGGGACCATTGCTTCAATTAATTTTAATTGCATTCTACCAATTCCTTCTTTCATCAGTGTTTATTTTAGTACAAGTGTCGTTTTCATAATTGGAATTTTATTTTTTCTTGGGATTTTTCTCCCCTTTTCCACAGCTTGCTTTCTGAAAAATCTTTAAAACTTGTGTCTGTCGTGGAAGGCATTTCTCTCTGTAATTGTTTTCTATACTTATGGGAAGTAACATTTGGATCTGCCTTTTATATGTGATTTTTTCCCCCCTCTGGCAATTATCTTTATCCGCTTATCAAATAAGCTAAAAGGACTAAGCTAAAAATCCATTATTTAATATATTAATTAGAATAAAGTTGTTCTTTGTTTTGATTTCAGCACTTTTGATGTAATATCAAAGATTCATTTAAATCTAAATGTAATATGATTTTAAGAAGAATACAAGTAGCATCTTAATTTTATTTATTTATATTGCATTCTTCATTATTTTTACAAATAACTCAAGGCAATAAATTTAGCCAACACACTTTCCTCCTTTTGTTTTTCCCCATAACAACAACCCTGTGAGGTGGGAAGAAAGAGAATGACCAACCCAAAGTCACCCAGCCGACTTTCAAGGCTAAGGCAGGATTAGAACTCAACGTCTCTTGCATTGTAGCCCGGTGTCTTAACCACTACACCAGGGGTGTCAAACTCAAGGCCTGGGGGCCGGACCTGGCCTGGGGGATGCTTAGATCTGGCCCATGGGGCCGCCCTGGAAACAGCAAAAGACCGGCCAGCGATGCCTCTGCCAGTGAAAACGGAGCCCGGGAGGGCCACATATGGCCCTCCCGAGCTCCATTTTTGCTGGCAGAGGGTTGCAGGAGGCCGTCGCGACCGAAAACGGAGCTCGGGAGCCCGTTTTCACTGGCAGAGTGCTTGGGCCACCAGAGACGTCGCCGACACAAGTGACGTCGAACTGGCCACACCCGCCACGGCCACCCCAGTCCCCCCAGGTCAAACATAACCCTGATGCGGCCCTCCATGAAATCGAGCTTGACACCCCTGCCTGCTCTCGAGTTGCCATAAGCAAGGGGGGGATGGGAAACCAACAAAATGGCACGGCAGCCAAAGACAGATGCACATTCCAGACTTATCTCTCTCAAGGCTGTTTCCCGGGGTTACCCACAGCGGCCGGAGGGGAGTGGTCTCTACAACCCGCGAATTTGCTCCGTTGGAGAATGTGATTGATGACACACCTTGGGGAGGAAGGGGGGAAACGGGGTCATGATTGGGGCGTAAATTACGTAGGGTCAGAGCTGACTTCACTTGGGAACCTGCCGACATGAAGCTCCTGATAACTGGATTTCTTTTGAAGCTTGGCTTGAGGCTCATGATTTAATCAGGGAAAGGTTCACGATTTTCAGGGAGAGGATCTCGTCTTCTGTCACTCCCGTTTTGCGATATGATTCCTCAGGACTTCCTCTTTAGCCAGGCTGTTATATTTTCATTCATTAATTAATGTTTTTCAAAGAAAAATCAGAAAGTCCAGTTGCCTCTTGAAAAAAAAGCACCTTAAGATTCTCGCTTGTCGTTTTGAGAAACCAGCTAACTCCCACTCTCCTTTAATTAATGCTTCTGTTTAAAAAAAGGCTGGCGTTATTTATTCCGATGACTTTTCGTTCTTCGTTTCAGCAATTGTAACGGCTGCATGCTGGATCCAATGTGTGGGTTTTGCTACAAACTGAACAAGTCAAGTGTCATCGAATCGTCTTGCGCTCCGGTTAGCAAGAAATCGACAATGGAAGCTGCTTGGGGCAGGTAAGTTATTTTTGGTGCGGCTTAATTTTGTAATTGTAGAAATGCTTTTCGGTGTACTTTAGAAAGAAACACTGCTGTTTCTTCATTAATTTTCAGGATGGTACTTACAGTGTTTTTATGAGAAAAGGAATTCTCAGAAAAACACTTTAAGATAAAATCAAGAGCCGTGTTGACGCGGTGGTTAGAATGCAGTACTGCAGGCTGCTTCTGCCGGCTGCCGGCAATTCGATTCTCACTGGAGCATGGTTGACTCGGCGTTCCATCCTTCCGAGGTCGGTCAAATGAGGCCCCAGATTGTTGGGGCAATGTGCTGACTCTGTAAACCACTTAGAGAAGGCTGTAAAGCACTGTGAAGCGGTATATAAGTCTAAGGGCTATTGCTGTCTCTGCCATGGTGGCGCAGTAGTTAGATTACAGTATTGCAGGCTGACTCTGCCCGCTCCCAGCAGTTCAATCCTGACCGGCTCAAGATTGACTCAGCCTTTCGTCTTTCCGAGGTTGGTAAAATGAGGACCCAGATTGTTGGGGGCAAGAGGCTGACTCTGTAAACCGCCTCTGTTTGCTGTAGGTACAAGAAGCATTTTTATTATATTAAAAGCCGATTGATTGTTTTCATTTTATTATGGAATTATTGTTCCTGGTGACTGTGATTCCATATCATCTGTAGAGGGGGGGAAAAAACCCGCATTAACATTCTTTTTATTTATAAGACTGCAGCTTGATAGGTGCTCCATGGTGCTCTTAGATTAAATTTTAAGGCAGGTTTTACTCAGATACAGAGAAATAAATGCATTGATTTAGCTATGCAGTACATGTATACAATGCACACAAGCTCACTTGTTGAAACAAATCCATCTACTTTATTGCCACTTTTTCAGTAGGGTTCTTTCATACCAGTCATGACAGTAACATTCAGAAGTAAGTCTCCACAGTATTTATTTATTTATCTATTAAATTTATTGGAATGGAATGGAATGGAATGGAATGGAATGGAATGGAATGGAATGGAACGGAACGGAACGGAACGGAACGGAACGGAACTGCCCCAAATCCGGATTCCCAAGGATTGTGAAACACACCAACGGTCCTTATCAAAGTTATAACATACCAAGAATAAACAAAGTCCGGCAAAGGTTGGCAACCAGCCCAGAAAACAAGATACAATAAGACACTCACTCTCCAAAATGTTCTGTAATAATTACACGTTGTTTCCAGCAAGAAATTACTAACTGCGTGCAACTTAAATAGGGTAAGGAAGTGCCCAATTATCCTCAAACCTTACTCTCAAGGAGACCTCCTCCTCCTGAGTAGCCACTCCTGCCTTTTGGCAGCCCTGCGTGCTCGAGCATTGAGGAGAGGCTCCTCCACTTCACTCTCTCCACTTGAAGGAGCCTCTGGAGGTTCTGTAGGCCCTGGCTGAGTTTCTGCCTCTGGCACCACATCCTCTCCAGCCTCCTCGCTGTCCGACGCGAGCACAGGCTGCGCAGGCTGCTGGCGCGACCCCACACCAGCCTCCTCGTCGTCGGGATCAGCCATGATCCGCGCAGGCCGCTGGTGGGCTACAACAGGAATGGAACAGAACGGAACGGAATGGAAAATATGGAATGGAACGGACTAGAATAGAATAGAATGTAGAATAGAATAGAACAGAACAGAACAATAGAAAACATGGAATGGAATGGAATGGAATGGATCATACAATCGACCCCTTTTTGCCACCTTCTGAGAAGCAAAATCAATGGGGAAGCCAGATTCGCTTAACAACTGTGTTATTAATTTAACAACTGCAGTGACTCACTCAACAACTGTGGCAAGAAAGGTCGTAAAACGGGGCAAAACTCAGTCAGCAACAGAAATTTTGGACTCAATTGAGGTTGTAAGTCAAAGACTACCTGTATCTCTTTCTATTGGCAGGAAGCTTTCATCGTTGCTTTTCTATTTCTCGTTTCAATTGTTAAATAACCTTTGGGTGGGATGAATTTTTCCTCAGTCAGTCGTTGTTAGGGCCACACCGAAGAAGAATTAATAGAGCCTCTGACGTTGCAGTGCAAAAGTTTTAATTAGAGGCACAGGAAACGTTTGCTGAATGCAGGATAATTTTGATTATATGTTATATAGAAAGCATTGCAATTTGTGATTGGCGTCCCCCCCCCCCCCACATAGTGCTATTAAACTTCCATAGCATTTTCAGCTGATTGTGAAGGAGAAAGGGCTTTCGCACAGGGCGGGAAAGAGGAGCGCATGGGAGGGGGAAGGGAGAAGGCAGGGATGATGGGCTTGGGAGTAGGGGGAAGAAACGCCCCTCTCAATGGCTCCCTGGTGTGTGTGTTTCAGCATAACTCTGGAACGCCTGAGCCGTTAAGGAGAGCGAGTGCAGTGTCCTAGAGCGGCAATTGTTTGTGATGTCCGTTCCTTCGCAGCTTCCTCTTGGAAAGCCAGCTGTAACGCTCACCCTCCAGTGGACCAATGGGAAAGCGCCTGATGTTCCCTTCTCTTGGCAGAAGGTGCCCCCTGGTGGATTTGGGGCAAAATGCCAGGATTTGTAAACAGGGTGGGAAAGAGGAGTGCATGGGAGGGGGAAGGGAGAGGGCAGGGATGATGGGCATGGGAGTAGGAGAAAGAAAGGCCCCTCTCAATGGCTTCCTGGTGTGTGTGTGTGTGTGTGTGTGTGTGTGTGTATGTATGTATGTATGTATGTATATTCAAGCATAACTCTGGGACGGCTCGAGCAATTTCAACCAAACTTGGTGCACAGATAACTTACTTTCTGGAAACAAATACCGTGGGGGTGAGACACCCTTAGCACCCCGAGATCTGTATGTGTGTGTGTGTGTGTGTGTGTGTGTGTGTGTGTGTGTTCCAGCATTACTCTGGAACTCCTCGAGCAATTTCAGGATTGGGATAAAGAAATACTCGGGCAATGCCGGGTTATCAGCTAGTATATTATATAGAAAGCATTGCAATTTGTGATTGTTTCCCCCTCTACACACATAGTGCTATTAAACTTACATAGTATTTTCAGCTGATCACGAAGAAGAAACAGGGCCTTCACCCTGTCAGGGAACTACAGTGTAAGCAATTAAAATCCTCATTTTTTTAAATAAAAGAGGGTATAACAGAATTCACACTGGAAACCTTGTCATCTGTCCAACCACGCAAAAAGATATTTTGGATGGGTTAAGGATAGTATTTCATGTTTTTCATAAGACAACTAAGATCTTAGTTTTAACGTTGTGTTGGATGGTGGTGAATAATTGATTTCGGAATCTAATAGCATTTTTCAAATTCTGGAGATCGGGTTCCGGTAGAAATTTCATTCTCTAATGGCTAATGGAAGAATTCTTCTTTGTACCCAAGGAAGAAACTAATGCTCAAGCATAGAAGACAACGACAATGATATAGAATACAATTTAATTTTCATTCTCTGAGCTGCATACAATTTAACATTTTTTTAAAAAAAAATCAGAGAAAACATCTATGGAGATTCTTAATAATCCGGGGCATGGTTGACCCAAAGGTACCCCTGCCCCGCCTCAGGCAACTCATCTTTCTTTGTTTTTTTCTTTGAAAATGTTTTGCTTCGCAGACAAGAACCAAAGAAGCTTCTTAGAACACAGAATAATAGAGTTTGAAGAAGTCTCAGAGGTCTTCTAGTCCAACCCTCTGCTCAAGCGGGAAGTCCTGTACCATTTCAGACAAACGGTTAGCCAGTCTCTATTTGAAAGCCTCCAGTGATGGAGCAGCCACAACTTCTGAATAGAGTGGAATAGGAATAGAAATAGAAATAGAAAGAAATAGAAATAGATTATAGAAATAGAAATAATTATAGAAGTAGATTATAGAAATAGAAATAATTATAGAAGTAGATTATAGAAATAGAAATAATTATAGAAGTAGATTATAGTATAGAATAGAAGTATATAGAAAAGACGTGTAGAAAAGACATATAGAATAGAAAATACGTGCAGAATATAATAGAATTCTGGGGAATAGAATAGAATAGAATAGAATAGAATAGAATAGAATAGAATAGAATAGAATAATAGAATAGTATAGAATAGAAAAGACATATAGAATAGAATATGGGATGCGGTGGCTCAGTGGCTAAGATGCTGAGCTTTTCGATCGAAAGGTCGGCAGTTCAGCGGTTCGAATCCCTAGTGCCGCGTAATGGGGGGAGCTCCCGTGACTTGTCCCAGCTTCTGCCAACCTAGCAGTTCGAAAGCACATAAAAAATGCAAGTAGCAAAATAGGGACCCCCTTCGGTGGGAAGGTAACAGCGTTCCGTGCGCCTTTGGCGTTTAGACATGCGGGCCACATGACCACGGAGACGTCTTCGGACAGCGCTGGCTCTTCGGCTTTGAAACAGAGTCGGGAACGACAAGCACATATGTGCGACGGGAACCTTTACCTTTACCTTTTATAGAATAGAATGCAGAATAGCATAGAATGCTGAATAGAATAGACTAGGCTGTAGAATAGAACGTAAAACAGAATAAAACTTTATTGTCACTTTAAATGTACACTAATCAGCATCCATTAAAATAAAATTTCATTGCATTCAGCTCTCAAAAGATAATCCTAGTTCGAATGTACACATACACGTGCCCCCCCCCAAAAAAAACAAGAATCCTGTGAGTTTAGAAGACGGATGTCATAAGGAACAGAACTGTTCCAGCATCTAATAATTCTTCTATAGATCCTTCGAAACCTCCTCCCAGAGGGGAGCAACAGAAGGTGCGAAGAAGGATCGTAAGCCACCTTTTCCAGGGCTGTTGTACCTTTTGAACAGTCGCTAAAGCAATGTTTGTAAATCGAGAACTACCCGCGGTCCGCGTTATTGACCTGAGATTAAATTTGCTCTCTTGACTCGCATAACCGATCAAATGGTTCTCCGAGCCTCAATTAGTATTCTGAAAAGCGTTGCATGGCTACATCCAAGCAACTGGCCTAATATGAACTTTAAATATATATATATATTATTAACTTTTCCAAACGCT